TAGGTAGGTAGTGCGTTTTGTCCATTTCCTCTAGGTTTTCAAATTTGTTAGAGTACAATTTTCCACAGTATTCTGTTATGATACTTTTAATTTCAGTTGGGTCTGTTGTGATGTCACCCATCTCATTTCTTATTCAGGTTATTTGCTTCTTCTCCTGTTTTTCTTTTGTCAGTTTGGCCAACAGTTTATCGATCTTGTTGATCTTTTCAAAGAACAGCTTTTGGTCTTGTTAAGTCTTTCAACTGTTTTTCTATTCTCTATTTCATTTAATTCTGCTCTAATTCTTATTATTTCCTTTCTTTTGGCACCTGAGAGCTTCTTTTGCTGCTCTCTTTCTATTTGTTCCAGTTGTAGGGTTAATGTTTTAATTTTGGCCCTTTCTTCTTTTTGGATGTGTACAATGATTGCTATAAATTGACCACTAAGCACTGCTTTTACTGTGTCCCAAAGGTTCTGGTAGGACGTGTTTTCATTCTCATTTGATTCTATGAATTTTTTTCTGTCCTTAATTTCTTCTATAACCCAGTAGTTTATGAGCAAGGTGTTGTTCAGTTTCCATGTGTTTTATTTTTTTCCTTGCTTTTTCTGTTATTGATTTCTACTTTTATGGTTTATGGTCAGAAAAGATGCTTTGTAATATTTTAATGCTTTGGATTCTATTAAGGCTTGCTTTATGGTCTAATATGTGGTCTATTCTGAAGAATGCTCCATGTGCTTTGGAAAAAAAAAGTATACTTGGCTGCTGATGGGTGGAGTGTTCAGTATATGTCCATGAGATTAAGTTGGTTGATTGTGGCATTTAGATCTTCCGTGTCTTTGTTGGTCTTCTTTCTGGATGTTCTGTCCTTCACCGGAAGTGGTGTGTTCAAGTCTCCTACTATTATTGTGGAGCTGTCTATCTCTCTCTTCAATGCTGTTAAGAGTTCGTTTTATGTATTTTGGAGCCCTGTCGGGTGCGTAAATATTTATTATGGTTATGTCCTCCTGGTGTATTGACCCTTTAATCATTACATAGTGTCCTTCCTTATCCTTTGTGGTGGCTTTTACTTTAAAGTCTATTTTGTTAGAGATTTTTAACATTGCCACTCCTGCTCTTTTTTGAGTGTTATTTGCTTGATATATATTTTTTCCATCCTTTGAGTTTTAGTTTCTTTGTGCCTTTAAATCTAGGGTGTGTCTCTTGTAGGCAGCATATAGATGGATCATGTTTTTTTTTTAATCCATTCTCCTTATTTGTGCATTTAGTCCATTTACATTCAGTGTAATTATTGATAGGCATGAGTTTGGTGCTGTCATTTTGATGTCTTTTTGTGTGTTGTTGACAGTTTCTTTGTTCCATTTAATTTTCTGTGCTGAGTCATTTTTG